TTTTGTAACGTAAATTCAATTAACTTTTATTTACTGACATTTAATAAAGTCATCTGTTGAAACTTGTTAAGTTGATGTATTCTGAGAACCGCATTAAGATTTTCACACTAAAATAGAAAAAAAAACTTTTTTTCCATTAAACCCATACATGTGGGGTATCTATGGATAGGTCTTCAAAAATGATATTGAGGTTCCTTATATAATTTTTTTCTAAACTGAATAGTTTGCGCGAGAGACACTTCCAAAGTGGTAAAATGTGTGTGCCCCCCCCCCCCCTGTAACTTCTAAAATAAGAGAATGATATAACTAAAAAAAATATATGATGTACATTACGATGTAAACTTCCACCGAAAATTGGTTTGAACGAGATCTAGTAAGTAGTTATTTTTAAACGTCATAAATCGTAAATTATGTTACTTGTTGCTACGGAGCCCTTCTTGGGCGAGTCCGACTCGCACTTGGCCGCTTATTAATAAGATCTACTGAAAAATTAAAAAAGAACTAACGAACTAAATGAGCGAACTAGTTCGCTATAGGACTACGTACTAAATTGAGCGCTCCCAATGGCGACCGACTATGCCCAACCAAGACTACTAAAAACTGAAAACGTCTATGCTTACTCTGTTCCGTTTATCTACTCTTGTGATGAAACCGGTGACATTTTAGGGATGATCGACGATCATCGATGTTCGATGATCATCGATGTTCGATGTTTAGCTTCGTTTATTATATTTAATTTTAATTTCCATATAATCAAATAGTTCTTGATAAGTATCATACATATATTATATATTATGTAGTACATATACTACATACTAATTAAATCATTATTTTTATATTCGATGATTATCGATGTCAAAAATGAAAACATCGATGTTGCCATACGTCATCGAATCATCGATGTCAATAAACCCATAATCGATTATTGGGTACTTGCAAACACTGGGAGTCCGTGAAATCAATATTAACAAAATCTTGCATCTAAATTATTTAAAATTTTGAAGTATTCAGAATGCTTGAACGCATCGATAACCTAAAAATATATTATTATGGTGTATCAAATTTAACTGTCAAGTGTCAACTCTAATGTCGCAGTTGTCACTGATTTCGTTTTATTATTAGTGTCGTTGTTGTGTCTGTTTCTATATCGGATGTTTTTAAAAAAATCCAATGGTTGATCTTAAACACGCACGTTTAGAACAGTGTTATTTTTTCTACCTATCTAAAATTAAAGAAAAAAAAACTTGCGATGAGATATTTGACCAAAATCGCTACATCAACGCCATCTGAGCGGTTATCTACAGACTTCAAAAAGAAAGGAGGTGCTCAATTCCACTTGTTTCTGGTTGAACCGATTTCGATGATTCTTTTTTTTTTTTTTTTGAAAGCTGGTGCTTTGTCATGTAGCCTCATGTAAATTTGACCCATATAAGTCTGACCAATAGTTTTTGAGTTATCATTAATAATTTATATTGAAGTCAGTTGTACAAAAATTTTATTTTTTAATTTATTTTCAATAGCTGTCTCAACTCTTTATCAACAGAGAAACATATTGAAAGGTACTTCTTTGTCAAAATTACTATTTCTTCAATCAATCTGCAAAAATATTGGACTACATTATAACAAATGAACTAGATATTTGAAAACTTCTTCGAATTTGTTTTAATTACTGTTTTACATTGTTTATTAATTTCTTTTATTTCATTAATTCTAAATCATACACAACATGACAATGTTTTCATTCATCTAATTCTGACCTATTAAATACATGTACAAAAAACATCGATAACGGCCAACATCCATGTTTTGAGTAGTATAAACTATAAACATCGAACATCGATGTTGAGATATCAATGTTAATATCGATGTTTCTACAACATCAATCACTCTATGACATTTTTTCATATTGATGGCATCAATATGTTATTAACGTCCACAATAATAACAGGTATGATTAAAAGCCTGTAGCATTGAAATGCTACTATGGCTTTCACAAAAAGTATTATATGAGCTACACAGCTCACCTGATGGTAACGTTGCACAGGTTGCCATACAACTAGTGTCATATGAACTGGGCAAACGTTATCGCGTTTTGCAATACTAGTAGCGCCATCTAGCGATCGCGGACTAAGGCCCGTATTAATAAACGTTACTCAGCTCAAGTACATACACTTGAGTACAATCTTGAGGTTATGATCTTATTAAAATTATAATATTATACTAAACATAATATCTCAAGATGCGGCTTAGGTTTACGATATCAGCTGAGTGACGCCCTGATTAATAAACGAAACTCGCCTCTCAAGTGTGTATACTTAAGATGCTAAAATCTAAGTGCAGGCAGTCCGTGAGTTTTATAATTTATTTTTAAAAGTTAGATTATACAAAAATAGTTAGTCCTCTAGTGTTGCTATGCCCTTGCAGGGCGTCACATGTATACCTATCAAAGGTAACATATTAAATTTGTAATGTGACATGCAATAAACAATTTGAATTTGAGTTAAGATCGTGATTTTTGACATGGAGTGGAGATTGAAAATATTTTAAGAGATATTAATTATTAAGACAAAATCGAGTACAACGACGATATTTTACGGCCTTTGCGATATGGTTTACCAAAAATTTATACAGGATGTCTCAGGAAACCTGTACCAGCGAAGGTCCGTGGTCTGAGAACACCAATACCTATCGATTGGACCCCGTGTATGATTCGCGATTTTTGTAGTTTTCGAGATATGAATTTTTTTGTTATATTTTCAGGTTTTTTTTTAATTTTGGACGGTTTTAGCTATAACCTTTTCTGTAAAGTAATTCTTGGAATTTTTTTTTCTTAGTATTATGGCTAGCATATGTGTTCGTTTGTAAAAACACTAAACACCAAAATTCTAATTACTAGTAGCTCAGATTTGGCTCACAAAATTAAAATTTCTGCTTGAGAGACATTTCTATTTGATTTCAACTTGAAAAAAAAATTACTTAACCCTGACTGAATAACTTCCTGATAATGTCAAAAACTTTATGGGTTTCTTAGCTCTCAAAATATGACCAAATAGTTGGTACTTTATATGGCATTTTTGTGCGAAAACGGAGTTTAAAGTTGATACAGTCGAAAATAGTGAAATTAATTTCATGCATTTGAAGTTTTTAGTTTCCCGCGACTTCGCCCGCGTGTAATTTATGTTTCTAAAACAAAAGTAAAAGCTTAAGTTACTCCTTATAACATCAGCTGTCTGCCAGTGAAAGTCCCATCACAATCGGTCCAACCGTTTCTGAGATTAGCCGGAACAAACAGACAGACAAACAGACAAAAATTTTAAAAATTGTGTTTTTGTTATAAATACCATATATACTTTAATATGAATTTAGTGAATAGCTGTTATTTTGACGTTACAAACACCACCTACCTGGCTAAAGGTGCGTATGGACTAGCGTTGTATTCCACAGTTATTTTGTTCCAGTTCCAGTATTTAAGTTTTATCAAAATAAAAGCATTCAATAAATCTCACGATATAGCAAAAACGAAACGTAATGAATGATATTCTAAATTTCGGTCTATGTGACGTAAACATTCACAAGTTCAACCCTTAAGTCAGACAATAGTATTCCTAAGTACAGCGTCTTGAGATACCGTTTTTATGTATTTATTAATTAGCAACGATCATGAGATGCTGATGTCGTAATGTGGGCGTATCAAATGATTACGTACTTGAGTTAGTCGTTAAGTAACGTTTATGGGCCTAAAATGGAATGATGCATAGTGCATACACGTGGTAGATCCATGCTGATAACGGTTGTAGCACCAGTCGGTCGGCTCGACCGGGGAAGGACCACGCTCTCGCAGAATACCAGCGTAAAATAGCAGCTTAACGCTGCTGTGTTTCGTATGGTGAGTGTAGAGAACCGGAGACCCTTTTTACTGGAAAAGAGGCATTCCATCGTGGTTCTCACGGGTGACAACGCATCTACATTTTGATTCGTAATCGAGGATAAATGTGGATGTCTATGAGCCACAGCATCATCCACTAACATCGGATGGACTGTGTGCTTGTTTGTCACTATAATTCTATAAAAAATGTGCCAAATTAAGAGTACCCTTAACCAACGAGCGTGTACGTGTAGGTATATGGATGTGAAATAATTCAGAGAGGTGTGTCAGGATCGTATCAAATGGGAATCCGCAGTCTCTGCCTACCCCTTTGGGTGACGGGCGTGGAAGTTTATGTATGTATGTCCTATAATTACCGTCTTACGACTGCCAAGGGATGGAATGGGGTAATAAATCTATGTTACATCATTATCACTACAGCCCTTCACAAGTCCACTGCTGAACACAGGCCTCCCCCAAGGAATGCCACAAAGCACGGTCCTGAGCGACTTGCATCCATGGATTTCCTGCATGACTTACCAGGTCGTCACTCCATCTAGAGTGGGGGCCGCTCTACACTTTGCCTGCCGGTACGAGGCTGCTACTCGAGAACCTTTCTTCTCCCTCAGTTGTCTTCGAGCTGGAGATGTGTATATATATATATATATATATATATATATATATATATATATATATATATATATATATATACTAACCAGGCAGACGTCGTTCTGCCCTTTCCTGAGATGACCCTTTCTCCAATAAAAAAAAATCCTTAAATTCCCAATAAAAAATGTTGAGGGTCACTTATCGGAATAAAAACTATCCTATCTCTCAAGTTTTCATTGAAGTCAGTTCAGTAGTTTAGGAGTTCATCGCGGACAAACAATATGACACGTAATTTTTATATATAAAGATTATAGAGCTGGCTGGATCATTGCCACTTCAGCTCACTAATCCGTTGGGCTATGTCGGTCACTCTGGTTCTACTGCGGATATCCTCATTCCTAAGTTTATCACGCAGAGAAACCCCGAGTATAACCCTCCCCATAGCTGTATGTAATCATTAGTAAATATAGAAATATAGAATCGCGATGGTTTTCAAAAACTAAATCAATTAATAATTCTATTCCAGTGTTCTGCACAAGGGGCAGAACAGTCACCCGTGTCCAAGGTGCGGGAAGGTGTACCAATGGAAGTCAAATCTGGGCAGGCATATGCGAAGTCATAAGGTAATATGGCGTTTTTAATATTTCCTCAATTTTTTTATAGGATAAGGGTGACAAACGAGTTCACCTGATGGTAAGTGGTTGCTGTGGCCCATAGACATCTACATTTATCCTCGGCTTAGAATCAAAATGCAGATGCGTTGTCGCCCGTGAGGACTAAGATGGAATGCTTCGTTTCCAGTAAAAAGGGTCTCCGGTTCTCTACACTCACCATACGAAACACAGCAGCGTTGAGCTATAATTACAGCTTTTTACTAAATGCAGGTAAAAGTATAGACGATACTTATAAGAAAAATACAATTTTTAAAGTTTTTGTCCGTCTGTCTGTCTATTTGCTCCGGCTAATCTCCGAAACGGCTGGACCGATTTTGACGGTATTTTCACTGGCAGATAGCTAATGTCACAAGGAGTAACTTAGGCTTCTTTTATTTTAGAAAAAGAATTAGGGATTCGCGCAAAAAAAAATAATTAAAATCCCAAATAACATGCGGGCGAAGTTGCGGTGAACAGCTAGTTAAATAATATAACTTTTCCAAATTTAAAACGACATTTCGACAAATATTTTTTCTGTGACAACATTGCGCCGAGTACCAGCTAGATTCTAATAAAAATATTTCCTGGAAATATTCCTTAACAATTCAAAAATAAATGTTCACAAGTTAGTGAAGCTACGAAGTTTTTACTTCTGACGTGCAGTACTTCGACTGACAGTTTTTTTCAAATTACAGTTTTAATCGTTAATGTTGTTGTTATATTCGCGATCAGGCGCGCGACTCCGGCGAGCTGCACTGCGAGGTGTGCAACAAGGCGTTCGCCTCCGTGGCCACGTACCGCCAGCACCTGCGGATATCCAGGAAGCACGTGCTTGAAACTGACTTCAGGTGACTCATTATCTTATTCTATACTTCACACGGCGGTTGCATTCATTGTGTAGTCTGCAGTCCATCTGGACACCATCCTGCAGTGCTTGCACTGCTGTGTTCAGGTATTAAAAGATGTCAAGAGTCAGTATGATGAGTGCTAATAATTTTCCCGCTCACCAGATGTCGCTAGTTGATACTGAGGTGAAGTTTTTGTTGCACAATTTAAATCATTTAAATTGCAAATTTTGTTTGAAATAAAAGTTTATCAGTTTCTAGAGTATTATATTAAATACACAAAACAATGCCTCAGTGGTTTGCTTTTTAATTTTTTGAACATTTTTTTTTAGTTTTTTTCTACTTTAATGAATATGTAGGTTTGGTTTATTTATTTTTAATCTTTTTAATATAAAATACAGCTAATAGTACAGAAGGAAACATTAACCTTTACATTTTCCGAACAAATTAACTTCCCCGCTATGAAGTCTGTCAAATATTATATACATCACTTTCTAGTGGCGCCGCCCTGGTGGCAGAAAATGTCGTAGATGCCCTCATTGACCGGTCACTAGATGTCGCTAGTGCTGTAGTGTTTGTGGCCTTATGACTACCTTAACTTGTCTATCAAAGTAAAGAGCTAGAGACAAACCTACACACCTGTAGAAATGTGAGACATCTATAGGCAGTGACGTTCAATGCTTATATCGTAACTTTTTTAACTCTGCTCTACTGATGCTCTATCGTCCAGCGTTGGTAGCATGATTATGACTCATACGTGGTAGAGCCATGCTGTAACTATATTAGTAATATAGTTGTAGCACGAATGGGTCGGCTCGACCGGGGAAGGACCACGCTCTCACAGAACACCAGCGTAAAATAGCAGCTCAACGCTGCTGTGTTTCGTATGGTGAGTGTAGACAACCGGAGACCATTTTTACTGAAAAAGAGGCATTCCATATTAGTCCTCACAACGCATCTGCATATTGATTCGTATTCGAGTATATATGTAGATGTCTATGGGCCACAGCAACTACTTACCATCAGGTGGACTGTGTGCTCGTTTGACACCCTTATCCTATAAAAAAAAAGTTACATAAATACATGCAGTTGTTTGCGAATTATTTAGAATGCGTTTCGGAGACTCCTAAGTCCTAACAGTCATAACTGAGTTGTTTTGTTATACAATTTTATTTAATTAGGACATCCACGGTTTATTCATTTGGTTCACATGGTTTATTCAGTTCTAATCTAATTAATATAAAATATAAGTAAAATTACAAAAATAAACATTAACCATTATGGCCCCTGTACTACTGGCTATGCCATCTGTCAAAATATTTCACATCATTCCAATGTGACGCCGCCCTGGTGGCGAAAAATTGAGACTAAATACCAGTGATGACTCTTTTTAACTTAGAACAGGAATCGGGCATATGCCGATAGATGGCAGTACAGTTATTAAAAAAAAATATCAGTCGTTAGATGGCGCCACTGGTGTTTTATAACTCGATATTGTTTAATCAGAGCATAGGACACTAGTTGTGTTGAAATCTAAGTTAAGCTCATAATACTTGTAGTGTTATGTTACTTACATATCATACTTTTTGTAAAAGCATATCACACTGTGTGATGTGCTTGTCGTAATTATAATTCAAAGTTAGGTGTTAGTAGCGATGCAGTTCCAGTTTTTAAAAATATCGATATATTGATATCGATATATATTGAATGAAGTTGATATTTATATATCGATTAATCGGTCAAGTACGCCGAAGCCGATATATCGATATTTCATCGATATTTTCCTTTTTTTTAAGGTTAATAAAACGAAAATTTGGAAATAAAAAATTTATTATTTTAATATATAATTTAAAAAAAATTAATTCCAGTATTTTGTACCAGCTATTGAACTTAAAAATAATAACATAGAAAGTCTGCTTCGGCTCTGGGTTATAGTAGCTCCTGCCTTCGAAAAAAGACGTTCTGATGGAACACATGTTGCTACAATCGGTAGATGACACATTGCCACTTTAAAAAGATTCGGATATACACCCTGCATCTCTTGCCATGTTTCAAGAACATTAACTTTTAAAGTATTTACAGGGGCAGAGAGATATAACGTGAGTTCATCGTCACCGTCAGTTTTTTTTCTTTTTATCTGCGTGTGAGTCAAAGATTTGTGGTACTTCCAAAAATCAAATTCAACTTTTTCTTCATCTTCTGAAGAAGTTGACGAAGCCGTTACGGCAGATTTATATTCAGAAATGAATTTTCTAATTCGAGACATTGCTTTCGCACAAGCTTCCGGTTTTTTAAAATGCAAGTTCTTGAAACGCGGGTCTAGCAATGTAGAAACGGCTAACAACATGTTGTATTCAAGATGGCCGAAACGCTTTTCTATCTCCAGCGTTATATTTCTCTTCAATTCGTCAGCAATAGTCGAAGTCACCCCCAATTCCTTGTATTGGTCAATTGCACAACTCACCATGGGTACAATCTTAGAAATGGTGACGTAACGTTCGGCAGAAGCCTCTCTTGTGATAGTTTATAGTGGACGCATAACATAAGCAACATCTTTTATAGTGTTGAGCTGAACTGCTGTCAACATTGTAGGTGCATCTATTTTACAAAAAATTATGTCACTTATATGTATATGGCGCCAAATCCAAAAATCGTTCAAGCATATAGTACATGGAATTCCACCTCGTTTTTACATCAAGTATCACTTTAAGAGCTTTTTCATCGGGTATTTTACTTTCTATTTGCTTTCTTTTTAATTCCAATGTCATGTCTTGTCTCTTTTTTAAGTATTTTACTATATTCCTAACATGCTCTATTATATCACTCAGTCCGGAAGTTTTTCTTATGGCCTCTTCAGCAACTCTATTTATCATGTGAGCAAAACATGGGATGTGTTTGTGTGCCCCAAACGTCTCTCTTATTGCTTTAACCATATTTGCACCAGAATCTGTAACGAAAGCCATAACTTTTTCAGTATCTATATTCCAACTTCTTGATATTCCTGTCAATTGTTGTCCAATGTAATCGCCAGTATGACTTTCTTCTAATTCGATAACTCCAATAGTCACAGATTGTAATTCATTCTGTTGCAAAAAATGAACAGTAAGTCCCAGATAACCAGTGTTAGTCAATGTCTCTGTCCAAATGTCTGTAGTCAAACTAAAGTAATCCACATTTTTCAATTTATCCGCCACATATTTTGATAATGTGTCATACTTTTTATCAATCTTTGCTTTAATTGTTTCCCGACAAGGCACTTTATACAAAGGGGCTAGTTCTTTAATCAAATGTCGAAAACCTTTTCCTTCAACCGCATAAAACTGCCTGTTATCAACTGCAATAAAATACGCAATAGCATCTGTTATCCGGTCGTATTTTGCACCACCTTTAGAATATTGATACACATTTTCAAAAGCCTGTTTTATTTTTGGAGTGTTTGCATAACGTACAAGCTAAGCGAGGCGCAGTCTCTGGAATTCGGCGGCTTGCCGCGCGACGCGGCGAAATTGACGCTTCCATTCCGCCGCAATGTCAATTGAGCCTAACAAATCACGATCAACTCGTTTACTTTCTTCTGTGGACATTTTTAATAATATAATTTTGCATAGTTCTTTGCCGTATTCGATTGGAAATCTGCTCTGGAATCTGGGAACTTGTCTCCTTGTCAGCGACCGCGGCAGTTTGAACTAAGTCACCCGTATCTCTAGATGTACTCGCCAAACACTCTATAGTCCCAATTTGCTGATTATTTCCTAAATCGGTATTCACCTTTTGCCCCAAATAAATCGAAGCGTGAGATCGTTTTAAATGAACTTCTAGGTTACCCGTTGTCGATTTATAACATATATTTTTTGTCAAAATGAGTCCATATCTCACTGGGTATTCGCGACGTTTTGAAAATCAAAGCAGTTCTCGTCTAATCAATTAAAAACTCTAAATAAACAAACTTAATAGTTACAATCAAAAATATTTAAATGTTATATATACATATAAACTTACTTATATAAATACACTCACACAATACACTTAGTTAACTAATTTTTATTTTGTTAACACTAAACACTAAACTCTGAAGTAATAATTAAAAACCATAAATTCTACTAAAATAATTTAGTGATACGTCTGACCGGCACGCGCGCACTTTGCACCAAGGACAAATTTGCATTTAAACGAAAACAACATGAAGACAAAAAATATTTTTATTCAACAAACACTTAACCAAAAACAAAAAAAACAAAAACACAATATCGCAAATATAGTCTTTAACAACTGTATAATAAGAACGATATTGATCGCATTCACACGGAAACAAAAATTCATTTACGCATAATCTCGCAAAGCAAATATAGACTTTATTTTTTAGCAGTATAGATAATATTGATCGCATATTGTAGATTTTTTATAATATACCGAAAACTCTTTTCCTAAAGCTTTTTGAAATCTATGATGAAATTGTGTGAATTTTATTTTTTACGTCGATTGTTTGTTATTAAGTAATCATTAAATCTTTCATGATTAGTTTTGACAAATATCTCAACTTCATAAAAGTACAGCGCGGGAAATGTTAATAATTAAAAAAAAATTGTGATTTTCAGCTTTCTGTACTCTGTATATATTTGCAATAGCACTCACACACTTTTTTGCGCTTTAGATATATCTTCGCGCGTTGTAGCATTGCCCCGAAAAATTGCACCGTAGCGCACAGTAGAAGATACGAAGCCGTGTTATATCGTCCATAAAGCAACTTCATCTACTACTTAGGATAATACTTGTAGAGCGTAAGAAAGTTGATTTAATTTTTTGCAAATATATTGTGTATCAGTCTCCCCCTTTAAGTTATTATCAATATAGAAACCTAAGAATTTTGTTACTTTGGTTTCACTAACGGTATCACCATCGTAATTAATGTTAAGCAAATCAAGAGGTCATTTTCGTTGATAAAAATTCATTATTTGAGTCTTTTTTAAGTTTATTATTAAATTATTTGATTTAAACATGGTTATATAAAAAAACCCACGCACAAATGAAAAATTATTTAAAACTTGAATACATGAATCAAACATATGCCGTTAGGTGGCGGTACAGTTATTTAAAAACTTGGTCGATAGATGGCGCAACTAGTATTCCAAAACACGATGTTGTTTACTCAGTTCATATGACACTAGTTGTGTGGAAACATGTGCAACGTTACCATCAGGTGGGCTGTATAGCTCGTTTAATACTTTTTGTTGAAGCCACTAGCATTTTTATGCTCAGGGCTTTTAATGTAATGCCTTGAACTTCCCTTATAATTTACGGGCCGTCATCATTGATGACATCGATGTTTGATGTTTAGCCTATTCAAAACATCGATGTTGACCATTATCGATGTTTTTTGTATATGTGTATGTGTAGATATACTTAGATATTGTTTCAAAATTATGTGGGTATACAGTATACACAGCAAGGGAAAAGTAACAGTTAACTTGAATATCAATTTACGTAGAATAGACATTATGCGACAACCGACAACGACACTACAAAATAAAGCGAAAGCAGTGACCACTGTGACATTACAGATGACATTTGAATATTAAGTTTGACACGCCATAATGATATTTTTTTAGGTTAGCCATGCGTTGGAATTCAGAATTATTCAAAATTTTAAGTCTTCAGAGGAGATGCAAGATTTAGTTGATATTGCTTTCGCGGGTTCGCATTGTTCGCAAGTTCCCAATAATCGATTATGGGTTCATTGACATTGATGTTTCGATGTTTGACATGTGTCAAAATCGATGTTAAAACATCGATGTTTTAATTTTTAACATCGATAATCATCAAACATCCCAATTAGGCATGGGTAATATCACTTTTACCCTATAACCCTATATCAAATCGTACAAAAACAAAAATAAACCAATAAGTTTAGTAAACGATAACTTTTTTAAACTAAGTTTGAACAAAATAAAAACCTAAATATCATTATTGCCACAAATGTTCAGTACCATTTACATTGTATTAGAATGAAAATAAAATAAAAATATAATTATAAATAATCGACAACCTTTTGGTCTCAAAACTAAAATACAAAATAAATCTTTTTTGACATTTAAGTTTAAACAAAAAATCTATAAATAATTATTGCCACTAATGTTCAGTACCATTTACATTGGGCTAGAATGAAGATAAAATAAAAATATAATTATAAATAAACGACAACCTTTTGGTCTCAAAACTATAATACAAGGCAAATCTTTTTTAAAGTTGTGTAAACAAAAGAAAGTAAAAAAAATATTGCCATAAGTTCTCAGTTAATCAGTTTAAAACAATAATTTTGGTAGTCTCTTTCCTAAAATACGGTTACGTGTTTTCCTAACAATATCTGAGGGGATCTATCTGCCTTGAGATTTGATAGCGGTGCCGCAATATATAGGTCCGATTCTGTATTTTTGGCTATTGTCGTGTTGGCTGCCATTATTTTTCCATGGTGTACCTGTCATATATCGTATCCGTGGACAGCCGCTCTTGATGAAGCAAATGATGCAGAACTAGCCGCTACTGGATTATCATCATTCCTATTGTTCAAGTTCAAACATCTGTTCATATAATTTATTGTTGTCATCTCATCTAAATATATTTTTTTGAATCTACCAACTACTTATCTACGATCCAAAAACGTCGCTACCGAAAAAACCGACCAAGTGCGAGTAGGACTCGCGCACCGTGGGTTCCGAACAAATCCGTAGGTATATAAGTTTAAAATTATTAAAGATATTATTATTATTATATGATGTAACTAAAATCTCATCATTATGCTTTTCGCAATTTTTTCCTTTATCTGTGCTATAATACGTTGCTTCGTACCAAATTTCAAGATTCTGAGTTCACGGGAAGTACCCTGTAGGTTTTGATTCCCTTGCGAATGTCGAAAATTTGCGGCATAAACGGCTGTATCTTTTGATTGCGTTGGCTTAGAAGATTGATTTTTTCACAGCTTCAAGGTAGACAAGGTAGACTTGAGTATTTGATATGAATTTCAGCTTGATTCCCTCACGCGTTCTTGAGAAAAAGGGTCTTGACAGACAGACAAGACAGACTGACAACAAAGTGATCCTATAAGGGTTCCGTTTTTTCCTTTTGAGGTACGAAACCCTAAAAAGGTGCACTTTTTGGATATTATCGAATCTTTTACTTAATTCTGTTTGCAAGGAATTTTTTAGTTGGTTTGCCCAATCACTCATTGGCGTGTTATTCCATCTAACAGCGTTCTCAAACATTCAATAGTAGGTGTGGCTTTACCAGCTGTAACATATTTTTCTGCACTCATTTCTTCGGTAACATTTTGAAAAGGCTTTAAATTTTTTTCAATTTCTTTCAACACAACAATTTCGTTTGCTGTAAGCATTTGGGGCGCGTTTGGATAATTTATCAAAACAGATCCTATAGTGCTGCTTATTAACACGAAACGTTCTATCATATGTAATTGCT